TTTTTTCCGTGCTGTTATATGAAGTATCTATTATATACAAATAAATGAAATAACAAACTCAATATTTGAAGATATGCAAGACGATTAAAGTGGTTTTTATACTAAGACAACTGTACTATTTCTGTCTTTTCGCTCCGTAATTAATGTGAAACAGACCTTTTTTTACATAACTGAAAATGTTTATATCCATCTATTCAAAATGAGATTTCTTACAAAGACAGTAGAAGAAAATCTTGATCAGTAGGATTGAATGAAGCAGTTCCTATAAATCCCAACTATTTATTAACTTAAAAAATATATTAAACTGAACCAAGAAATTAGTAAACTTTATCTTTAATTATATTCTGCGAAATATTTATTTACATAAATTATGAAACAAAATATTAAGAGAGAATTAATTAGAGACACATGAACTATTGAATCCATTAGAATGCAAATGATTATTTGATTTCTATCCTCATGTGAAAAGCTTTTTCTTGGAGCAGCGAATTTAACTATTGAAGAAACAAACAAATATAAATTACTAGCCAATAATAAACATGTTGTTGATTTCAATGTAACGTTATTGAATTGACAAGATTTCAAAGAATAAAGAAACGATTATCTTTTCTTCATTAAGCTATCTGTTCGTCTTACTTCACCTGATGAAATCGGTCAAAAGGAATATTATTTAAATGACTTAGACAGCATATTACATTATATATATATATATATATATATAGATCGATAGATAAATTTCATGCTTCTTTCGAATTAATCGAACATTGAATTTCACTATCACCAATGGATTCAATATGTGCTATTGATGTAGAAACATTACTTCCACTTTATGGAAAAAAATATACAAATGAAATCGAAGTATATGTTTTGGACTTTTATTCAACTTTTAATACAACTTATCGAAATTTATTTGTTAGAAGATTCTATTTATAATGATCAAAGCAAAGAAATACTTATTTCAAATCTTAATAAATGAATCATTGTCAAATTGTACTATTGAAAACTATGAAAGTAAATGAGCACAAGTAAAAAGAAGAATTATGTTAATTTGTGTATTATAAGTGTTGTTAATGATGTCAAGATCTTGCAACACTTAATTGTAGCGATTACTGGTGATGTAAAACTCGTTTTGGCATGCATGTAAATCGAATTTTAAATTTTAAACAAGTATTTCTCATCAGAATATTTTCTATGGTGAGAAGCTGATTACGTTTTGAATACTAAAAAAAAAGCTATCAATCAATTCGAACAAATACAAAACAAACGTAAATATGTCTAAGAAGAGATAAATATATATCAAATGATAATTATTTGTTTTAGATGGTTGTAATTGCCAATCGATTATTGGACACTTGAATGCAATTATTTTTAATATCAAGAAATTATTTGATTGATATGTTAAAAAATTAATTAGCTAATTGAAAAAGATCTATATCATTTATCTTTAATAACAATATTATTTGCAAATTCTATTCCAAAAAGACTTCCAGAGTGTATTTTGAATTTCAAGTACTGGAATCGTTGATTAAATGAAAAAATAAAATTATCAAACTTGATCATCGTTATTTCCTTTTTATGACCAATTTCAGTTTTTTTAGATGAAAAGTTTATCTTTTACTTATCTTCAAAATAAATTCTATTGATATTGGAAAAAAAGACAGTTATTATAGAAAATAAGCAAATAAAACGATGAAATTATATAAGATATTGAATAGCTGGTCATTATTCTCGGTGTTCTCGTAAAATAGATGAGAGATGTGCTATACAGAATGATGGAACGTGATGTACTCGAAACAGGCCCATTGTTTTTCTGGATTCGATATATACTTGATAAAAGAAAAAAGATACTATTATTGTTCTCATCAAATATATCTTTATACAGTGATTTGTGTTTTCCGTTGATGCTGCCGTTCTTTATGTCTCTGTTATCATCAAGCAGCACTGTACATTAGTTGTAAAGCTTAAGAAAAGTTTCGAGAATAGCTGCTGAATTCTAAAGAGTCCTGCAATCAAGTAAAACTCTGTCGGACTCTTTTTCTTAGAGTGTGTGTCAATACTTTTTTATTCAGGTTTTCTTGGTCTTCGAACTTTTATCTTGCGAAGCAAACGAATATATGTCGTCTCCTACTAATAAAAGTTTCTCTTTCATGATCTCAAACCATTTGCTACGTTGACTTTGGAGAGCTAGAAATACAGGTGAAGGATATGAAAGAGGACAAGTGAAAGTAAACACGTAACCAAAATAAAACGTGCTAGGCAAAAAGGAAAATAAGAAAAAAAGCAACACAGACAACTGATAAAGAAAACAAGGATAAAAAAATAAGGGTATAGATGTGTCATATCTGATAATGACGTTAATGGGAAGATGTTCGCACAAATATATATATTTAAGAATGTTGTATAGTGTGATAGCAGTTATTTAGAATTATATATTGGTGAGTATGTTGATTGCTTCTAAGAAATATTTTTAGCTATATACGTATCTTGAAGTGAAAAATGTACGGTAAGTCTTCATCAGACACTTCTGAAAATGGTAGAAATTAGAGCAGAAAAAGACGATGTCCATTTTCAATGGCTCGATGACTTCTGTTCTTGTTCTAATTAACCATAACATCAGGACGCCTGTCGCAAGATGCAATCATCGTTTTCTTCTTGCCAAGTTTTTGTCATTTTCTGAAGAATTTTTGTTGGTCTCCATTGAACATTCATGGAGCTGCACGTCACAGTAGTTACCTTAGGCTCGTAAAGAAGTTTCTAATACAATGATTCATACTTTATTGGAGTCAACGCAGAGTATTCGGGTCAGACAAAAACTCATAAATTTAGATGAAAATATCCCAGAAATTAATCAGTTCAGTTCGAACTTTTAAAAACTAGGGTTGTTCGATTTGGTTCGGGTGAGACTAGGCGTCGGTATAGACCTGAGATGGGGTGCATGCGTATGTAGGTGCGAGCGTAGCCTATGGTTGTGTTTGTGTTTGTGATGTGAGTGATGGTTTGTGACTTGTCACTTCCCGAACTATACTCATATCCACGCATCCCACCCTTTTGTGACAACAGATAAAGCGATGTGTCCTATCTCATTAGAATCGATAGGCCACAAGCTATAACTGTAAATATTTAGTTTTTTTAAATTTTGTTTTATGGTTGAAAACATTAATTTTTTTCCGCATTTAGTGGCAAAGTCATACAGATGAATGAAATATACGCTCATATTTAGTGGCTCTTATTATAGTGGTTCACTTAAAAATTGAAATACATAGCATATTTGAAATCAGTATCAAAAATGCACCGAATCATATATGTATGTGAGAGCATGTTTTATATCAAAAAGTCGATCGCTGGCTGATTAGAGACAAAATTTTATCAAAGTCGACGAGAGCGGGACTACATGTATATTTTCCATCCAACACATCTTTCGCTAACCTATATGTGGTTTGATGCAGCGGTTGACCCTAATTCCAAATATGTTATCTGTTTTGTTTTGTTACTAAATGCAGAAAAAATTAAATTTTTTCAACAATAAAACAGAATTAGAAAAATCTAAACAAGTATGGCTATATCTCGCGATCTGCTGTTTCTAATGAGATATAATACTTGGCGCTGCTTCTCGTCCCAAAGAACTAGATAGGCTTACAAAAGTGGCTAGAAACGCATTTTTTAGGCATATTGGTGTATTCATCAAGGATTACATTTTATAAACTTGATATGCTTTGAATCCATTCAAATAACGCTGTTTCTACTTAGTTTTGAATGCACAATCAGAATATAATATTTTAAAAAACTTCATAAAATCACTGAAGTTAACATTTTGACAATTTCTATCGAAAAAAATAAATTCACCATTTCGAACAGTAGTTTTTTAGTTATGTGAGTTTTTTAAATATTTGTCCACCCAAAAGTGTTTATGATGTGAATGAATGAAGACAAGATCCATACTATATACCCACTCACTCCCCAACCTCAAGTATAAGAGTAAAGATTTGAGAATAGAAGATTGAGCTTACTTTTAAAGATTTATGCACAGTTATCTTGGCTGAGTATACTAACTAATGATTAGGTATTTTTATAAAGATGTGACTTATGTTGATACGACTAATGATATCGATGTAAGAGTCGTTACGAAACCCTTGACAGGAAACCTTTTTCTACACAATGGGTGTGGTTGGATACGAGTATGACGAGTAAATTTACATTGACACATAGACTCACAGTCAATGCACCAATACCACCACATTTACACGAACAACGGTACCCACATATACACATCATCCACAGCCATAGTCTTTGGTCTCGGATGTGAATGTGGGCACGGATGCAGAAAAGATCAATAACTACATCTACACTCACATCCTTTACGATATCAACTCGTATTGTATTGTTGCATCAGCGAGCTTCGCAGAGAAACGGTATTACAAGGATGATGAGTAGTATTTTTTAATATAAACTGTATTATAAGACATTTTTCTGTTCTACAAATGCTCGCATATCATTTCAGCTGTGTGACTCAAAATATACGAATAACTACGTCCGTGTTAAGACAATGTTTTCACTACCTATCAATGAGGAATGACTCTCGTATGATCAAATTCTTACTTCTATGATTGTAATAAATAAGTATTTCCGTATAATGTACAGATGACTGTTCGTTTGATCTCGCTTGACGTACTCATCAATATTATGATATGTGTTTTTTTCTTAGCCACAAAGAATAAAAAAAGACACAAGAAAATATACAATTTTTTTGCTAATTATTGGTCACTCTTTTCTATTGTTTTTTGTGAATCCTGCATACACATCAAAATACTAAGAAATCTACCAAATGATACGATCGTATTTAAACACAGTGACGACTTGTTATTTTTTTTTCTTTCTTTTCTTTCTAGTTTTGTGTTAGTGAAATCATAGAAAATTTCTTCTATTCAATCGACTCTACCACTATTTGGGATATAGACGTGATGGATCACGACGAAGATAATAGGTATTTGAAAAGATGTTTGATGGAAATCATTAAAGCTGTTCACGAAACTATTGAACAATTACGACCAAATGAAGAAGAATTACAAACATCAAGTACTGGCATTCATTCGTTTACATTAGATACATCTGAAGATACGGCTATGGATCTGCTTAAAATGCAACTTGAGGATATTCTTAGGACACATGCAGCACATCTAAGCGAAATTTGTAGAAAATACCTACTCAAATTTCTACAGCAATATGACTACGATGAAAACACACGAAAGTTTACGAATTCATTCAATATGGATAGTCTTGATCCATTCGAACATGATTTAGAAGCTGCATTAGCTTCAATTGATGCTTTTGTAGCAGCATATATGGGAAATAAGGATGCAGTATTAAAATTCATAGAAAAGTATCCAACACTCAAAGACAAACCTGGCCTACATGGAACAACTCTATTATATTCAGCAGCCAAAAATAATCATGAGGTACTCGTTAGGTTTCTTGTTCAATCAGCTCATTGTGCTGTAAATGCTCAAAATCAACAACAGCTTGAAGATGTATTACAAACTCATTCAACAAGTACATTTACAATGATAAATCCATCATCTGGTTCAACAGCATTACACGGTGCTTGTTTCCAAGGACATTTGAGAATTGTTCAATATTTGATTACACATGGTGCTGATTATTTCGTTCGAAATCAATTGCAAGAAACACCGATAATGAATGGAGAAAATCGTCTAAATATTCGTGATTTTTTTAAAGATTTTCTTATCCTAGGTTATTCTGTCACAACAACTAAACATTTACCCGAAAAACCAATTTTACAAAGAACAGAAAGCGAAACATTTGATTGTGTTTGGGAATATAAACCATTAATTGATCAGCAATGGTTACGATTTTCAGATGATGAATCAAACGAATTAAATAAATCATTAACAATATTATCTGGTGAAGAGATGCAGCGTGTCATCTATTTGGGTGCATCACCTAATACTTTTAGTGTTTCAATGATTCAATTTACACGATCCGATAGAAATCGTGATCCAACGAAACACATTGCATGGGTTCGATGTCGTGGTTCATCCATTTTCAATTTTGATTGTTTTTCACGATGGCAAATAATGCTTCTTAAATATACTGAAATCACCAGTCAAAATGAACCATCTTTGAAGATAATTGATATACCAACAATTTATGATAGTAAATTTCAATTACAGCTCAATTGTTGGTATAATTGTACAAGCAACATCAATTCACATCTAGACAATGCTATAAATTATCGACGAAAACGAATCACTTTGAATCTACAATTTTTGACAGATGATGTGGAGTTTGATCTACAAGACTTTACATTTGTAAGCAGAGACCGAACGATATCAGGTTGCATAAGATGGATTCCAAAATTGATTGCAAATGACGAACGATACAGAAATACTATTCATGACATTGATAATTATCAAAATTTATCTCATGTTCAACCAATACCTTTGACGACAAAACGACTTCAAGAAATATCAAATAGAAATCATACTACATCAGCTTCGAAACTAGACGATGATATATTAGAAGAAGACGAAAATGATCAAGATGTTACACCACGAAGTCTTTTGAGCGAAAACATCGACGAGGACAGCTTCGATGCTATAGATAAGGTAAAATAAAAACCTGCATTCGCATTCAGTGTTTTACTGCATTTTAACTTTTTGTTAGATTTTCTATAAATTAAGAGGTCAAACATCTATAATGTGGACCATCGCAGATGAGCCGGTTGTTTTTTGAAAGTCATTTAAAATATTCTCTGCATTTTTTTTTTCAAATGCAGAAAGCAAATCAAATTGAAACATGGTGAATTTCAGGAATATTCAAGTCAGAACATGTCATATTTGACTGGAAGTTTTCTGTACTATATACACTGTAGTTCTTTCCTTGAAGACAATGACTTGACTTGATGACTTAAGGGTGAGGATATAAGTGCTGCTGCTTTGTTGCCTCCCACATATACACTGACACCAATCCGTATCCACCGACCATTACTGCTCGTAAAACACAAATGTTCAATTTCAAGACTTAAATGTAATCCCAAGTCAAGAATTGTTGAGAATTTTTTATATTGATAACATTGCATGCCATGCTAGCATATCCATCCTACCTTTTTTTTATCAGTCATGCATGGAAAAAAACGAAATAGAACGAGAAGCTATTTGAGATTGAACAATCAAATGATCCTTTAATTCATACCATGATGACAGTGTTGCAATGAAGGTTCTTGCAGTTTCATTACACAAAAAAAGTACCTACAGAATAATTAGTTTCGATTGTCAATATCAAAAAAAAGAATAGCAAGAAGTGTTTTTTTTCTATATAATTAGGACTATAGTAGTTCCATATCAGTTCAGTTCTCATGAACTAGTGCTCAATAATTAATGAACGATGATACATGCCAGATTTTCAACAACTCTTTCGAGCTGAAACTGTTACGGTCTTAAATATAATTGTTGATAGACATCAATTTTTCATCAAAGTTGTAGAAAATTCTTATGATTCGTAAACATTTCAAGTTAGAAAGTCGATTGACTGTTCTAATACACACCTGAAAACCGAAAGTGCACTCTACGAACCAGGAGCGATACATTAATTTTTAAACAGTTTGATTACACACTACAACAGAAGTTGCAAGAAAATCTATTATATGTGATTAAATGCATCTTCATCTCCTCTCTCTTAAGCATTTATATATTACTTGTCTTGAAATGATTAAGACCAACTAGAAGGCGTTAGAATAAAGCTTAAATAGTGCAATTCGATTAAGAACGTTAGCTTTTATCTGATGATGAGAATTGAAGCGTAAGTAAAGTATAAAAATATGGAAGCAGACTAAAAATTAAGAAAATGAATAGCAACCCTGCAAAAAGAACTCAAAGGACCATCCGTATATAAGTCTATTATATAAACAATTAGAGATCTTATGGTAAAATTGACTTTGAGTAATGTATTCGTCTATTTCTAAATCTGCGCACAAGTTTTTCTATTTTCTTCTTCGGAATGATTTTTCGATGAGTCTACGTACATTTTTACTGCAATGCCTATGAGTTCCTTCCTATATAGATTCATAAAATCTCAGCGTTGCTAAATAACTTGATTCTTCTCTTTTTGCTTATGCTTTGTCATGAAAGCCAGAAATAGCTATCGTAATTCATGAAAGAATTCAATCGAGCAACCGCCATGTAGTAATACTCTAAGCCAACAGACGATACTCTTACCCGCTTTTCAGTAAAACATGATTTCTATATGAATAGATATTTTTATTTAAAATACACTCTAGTGCTAGAGAGCATCTGAAATGCTCTACCAATTGTGCATAAATATGAAGTTTTTTAATGGTTTTTTTTAAATGCTTTAACATTATTTCATATATTGAGAATAGCGAAATTTTCTTCATTGGCTATTTGCTTTCAAAAAAGGCATCCAAGCAATGTCATCTGCGACTCAATCAAATTATTTCTTGCAAAATTTAGTGGCAAATAAATTTGTTTCTTTACTTAAAGTTAATATAGCACTTGGTATAGTCAAATATTTTCAAACGCTTATGATAAAGTAATTGATGAAGACTTGAATAGGAAGCCTTTCGAAATAAATTTCATCATAATTTCCAGAGAATCGAGTTCCGTGTTTTGTGATGGTAAACTTGAGATCATTGGTTATTTCTCAATTGGAATATTTTCAAAAGACAAGCTGCAGCAAAACCTTTATCCTATCTAGTACAATGCGATAGAGTGAAGAATTCTCCATTGTTTTAGCTATTACAAGAATTTATTTATTGAATCATAGGGGACAAATTACGAAATACTGTGAACATATAAAGTCTTGTATGTCGACTTACGTTAGACCATCATGATTCGTCATTGATATCATTTTTATAATCCTCGTGAGTTAGATCCATATCAGATAAATTTTGAATCGATAAGTTTTTACCACGCGCTTTCATTTTATAGCACAAGGTGTGAAGTAAAAAATTTTCGAATCCTCATTTAGCAGTACGTCATAAACATTCTTCTAGGATCATGTTCCGATTCTTCTCTTGCGTAAATTTTTATAGAAATTTGAGGATCTGAAACGTTCTGTATGAACACGTAATTTACTGAAATCACAAGTGTTTTTTATTTTATAATAAAATTGACATTGTTCATATCAGGAGATCGAATCATCAGAGAACGGAAAATGGTCGCTGTTTGATATTAAAAGTAAGGATGATACTGCTTTAACAGCTATGGTCAACGAAAACGATCGTCACTCATCAGTTGCATCTTTACCATCGACAATATCGAGTATTACAGAAGAAAAAAGTCTTGCTGATAATTTACAAGAAGAATTAACAAATACTGTTTTACCACAAGAGATGTCTTTCCAAGAAAACTTAATGTCAATTGAAAATCTTAAAGACTTGGAAAATGAGTTGCGAGTCCAGCAACTGAAAATCGATGAGAGAACTAAAGAAATGATAGTAATCAAAGAAGAACTAAGGAAAAAGAATGAAGAGAAGGAAAAACTGGAAAATGAACTCGCAACTGCTCAAGAAAAACAAATGGAAGCTCAACAACAAAAGAAACACCAGGCCAATGAAATGTCAAAGCTTGAAGCAGAGATAAACGAATTAAAAGCAGCTCAAGATACGTTAATAAGAACGAAGCAAAAAGCTAATCGAGAATTGTCAGAGAAGCTTGCAGCCGCTCAAGCAAAACATGATAATGCTGAACAAGAAAGAAAACGGCAAGCCAAAGAAATATCAGACCTCGCTAAAAAAATAAAAGATATAGAAGCAATTAAAGAAGAACTAAAGAAAAAGAATGAAGACAATGAAAAATTAGAAAATGAACTTGCAATTGCTCAAAAAAAACATGCCGAAGCTCAAAAACAAAAAGAACGCCAGGCCAATGAAATGTCAAAGCTTGAAGCAGACATAAATGAATTAAAAGCAGCTCAAAATACATTCATAAGAATGAAGCAAAAAGCTGATCAAGAGCTGTCAGAGAAGCTTGCAGCCGCTCAAGCAAAACACGACAATGCTGAACAAGAAAAAAAACGGCAAGCCAAAGAAATATCAGATCTAGCTGAAAAAATAAAAGAAATAGAAGCAAACAAAGAAGAACTAAGGAAAAAGAATGAAGAAGAAACGCAAAATCTGGACAAACAGCTTAAAATTGCTGAAGAAAATCAAAGAATTGCTGAACAGGAAAAACAACGGCAACAACAGCAAATTGAAGAACTCGACAAATTGACCAAAGAACTAAAAGCTTACAAAGAAAAGGAAGAAAAAGAAAAGAACAACATAGAAAAAATAGAAAAAACTATTATAGCTAACCAATATAGCAAGATCGAAACACAAATAGCACGAGACTTTCTCGCGCCAAAACAATCATTGATCCTAGATTACATGAAAAAAACAGGCAGGACAGTTGATAAGTATTTCATTGATAGAATACCCAAAATGTTACTTGGAGAAGTAATTAATGAATCAACTATAACGTACACTGTAATGATTATTGGTTTTCAAGATCATCATAATATATTTAAAGAGCTTCTTGCACGAATGCAAAAATATTTCCAATTAATACAAAAAGCTAAAGATTACTATCAACGATCTTTGCAGAAAATCACCAAACCTATTCAACACGAACTTACAAAGGTTAAATCGAGAACACAATATTGGAAGCAATATGTCAAATCCTTAACTCAGCTAATACAAGACCAATCGAATGAATATACTGAGTTGTTTAATACCTATATTGAAGAAATAGGAAAATCATTAACCGAACGATGTATTTTAAATGATTTAACGACAATAAAAACTGAAATAGAAAAACATACAAATAATTTTATGAAAAATAAGCTATTGATCAAAGAAGTGGAATCACTCAAACATCAAGCACTTGAAAATTTTATCGAACAAAATATTACTTTTCAACGGAGTCATCATGAAAAAAAGCCAAGTATTAAATCACTCTCTGTTCTAGAAACATTGATTAATCGAGTTAAAACAGATTTCAAAACGAATCAAAAATTTATTGGTCTTGATGCGAAACATTTTGCTCTAATACCTGATTTACTACATCGATTAATCATGTATTATTGTTGCTTTAATATCCAACTACCTTTGTTTGAATCAGCATTAGACCTATTGGATAAAATTGATATGCATACAGTTACTACAATAGCAACATCAACTGGATCAGGTAAAAAAAAAACAGATTTTTTTGCTGGATACTTTATTTCGATTAAAAATAGAATGTTATTATATTCAACAAAAATATATTATACTCACAATTTATTTGAGATGTAGTTCATATTCATATGTTCTATTTGTAGGAAAATCAACATTGCTACCAGCTCTACTTGCTGCAGAAGGTTACGATAAAATTATTGTTACACAACCTCGACGTTTACCTTGCACATTAATTTGTCAACGTGTCAACGAAACAATGACAACAGTAACAGATCCTTTTTCAGAGAAATTAGCCGGATGGGCTGTTAGTGGCGCTGAAAAAAATCCACGAGCAAAAGTTCTATATGTAACTGATGGTCTACTTAAAGAACGTTTACTTTATGATGAAAACTTCATTACACGTAACACTCAATTAAACAAATCGATTATATTCTTCATCGATGAGGTTCACGAAAGATCCGTAAATATTGATCATTGTTTAGCATTGTTAGCACGAATGTTATCTGTTAATCCAGCTATGAAATCAAAAATGAAATTGATTATTTCATCTGCTACACTTGATTCATCTGTACCGAAACTTTTTCGTCAAATAAAACAAATAACATTAGCTGAATTTGAAATGCCACAAATGGGTACAATACATACTGTCACCAAATATCCTCGTCCAAAGGAAAATATATTGAGTATTGTACAAGAATTGTATCAAAAACGGCGACGACATGATCAAATTTTATGTTTTGTTAGTTCTGTCAAAGATGTAAATGAATGTTGTACGTTATTGAAAAAAATTACTGGCGATGTAATTATTGCACATCCTCTTATTCAATCACAACAAGCTTCTACACAAAAAGAATATATTGAAAATGGAAGTGTGTTTTTTTCGACAACAGTTGCTGAAACTTCATTAACATTTCCTCAGTTAAAATATGTCATCGATACAGGTATGATTAATATTCCTGTTTATGATCCAGAATCTAAACGAACTGTACTAAAAGAAGAACGAGCAGCTGAATCAACAATAAAACAACGTCTGGGACGATTAGGTCGAACACAACCTGGAGACTATTATTCATTGTATGATTTTAAAGTGGACGATAAACAATATCCAACATCACAAATATGCCAATTGGATTTGACGAATATCGAATTTGCATTGCGAAAATCACCATTGAAAAAAGGACTGAATTATATGAAAGAATTCTTTCCAGATCGCCCATCAGACCAAGCAATTGATCTTACGATTAAAGAACTACGAGCATTAGGTAGGCGATTGTTTGCTGTTATAGAATATCTATGTGATGATGTGTATGTCAGAATATAGATGAGGAATGAGTGAGGATGGGATTTTCTTCCACATCCACTTACAGCATATCCCTCGCTTACAATGACCTGTCTAACCTCACAAATTGCGGGTGTGGATGTGGGTTTGAGCACGAAGAAAAGAAGCATCTACATTTACATTCACATTCCCACCCACCCACCCACACTCACACCACTGTCAATGGATTCTAGCGTTTGAGTCTTGAGAACCATATTCTAGTGAAAGTTGATTGAATAGAAAGTAATTATATACTCTTATAATTCTAAAAGAATCACTACATTGTCATAAATTATCAATTACTTTTTCTTAAGGCATTGTGGAGGCCAGTCCAAGTGAAAAATTCACAAAACATGGTGAAGCTCTTGCTAAACTGCCCGATTTCGGTTCATTGCAAATGTCCAAATGTGTATTAGCTGCTCTTCAGAAATATTCTTGTGGACGTGATCTTATCTATCTAGCATCTATTCTAAGTGTTCTAAATACTAGTGCTCTATTGAAGCCCATACCAAAAAATTTGAAAAGTGCCGATGGTGATTTTATGACACTGTTTAATGTAATGCAAGAAGTTTTGCTTGTTAAACAATCTGTACCAGAAAACAAATTTAATTTACAACTTGTTTGTCAAGCGAAAGGCCTAAGTGATATTCAACATATTCTTAGACAAGCATTGAGACGCTATACAAACATAGAAAGATCATTTAATTCATTGGTCGAATATCGTGGACCATCACAAATCACATCTGGTGATTGGCCATCAATTGCTAAATCATTATTATCTGGTTATTATAAAAACGTTTTTGTTTCACTAAAAGAACTATCTGGAAGAAATCATCATTATGTTCAATATGATTCAAACAATACAAATATTGCTGTCTTAGATTCACAATCTACTCTTGCTCGTCAACCAAAGATGTCACCTGTTCCTATCGTTTTGGCAAGAGATATTCGTTATTCATCGTCGATTCGTTCAAGAGCTATACTTTCATTTGTCGGTGAACTTAGACCAGAATGGGTAGAATATGAACTTGAACGAAATCTTGAATTGAATATTAAAGAAGTAGCCCATCTCAATGATCATAATAGATTGTCAACAGCAATGACAAAATTCTATCAGATTCATATGCAGATGGCTTCGAATAGTCTATTATTAACAGGTAAGGCTGGAACTACTTTGAACGCTGAATTGCATCTGCGACAGCAATTGGCAGTTGAACAACCTGAATTTCCATTAGAAAATCATTATAAATCAGGTTCAGTAGAATATACAAATTTATCAAGAAATTTGGAAAGTGTAATGAAAATGACACAAATATTTAAACCAATGACTAGGCGCTGGGAAGCTGAGAAACAAGTCAAAATAACCGTTAATCCAAACACATCAACGAAGACTATTACAATAAAAGTTGTCGGTAGAGATTCGGACTATGAAAATGTAAAACAAGAATTCAATGCATTTTTGAGTTGGTTAGGATGCTGTGCTGTTATTCGACATCCAAATTCAGGTGAGTTAAAAAATCAATAAATCAACTTACTTGTATTATTGTTAGTCAGTAAACTGTACATGATATATTGACTGATTTCTCGTATTACTAGTTCGAGAAAACATTGTACCTGACACTCAGATAGAACATTCGAATATGAATAATGTTTGTTTCCTTGATTATTCAGTGAAAAAGATGTGCAAGACGATGGAACTGATAAAATCATGATCGTGAAACCATGAGATGCATAGCATACCTTTTTTTAAAAATTGAAGACTAATACAAGGAAAAAAAAAACTTCTCACTATGACAGTTTGTAACAAACATATCCATCATGATCTGTGGAATTGAATAGAGTATCACAGGTCTTCATTATAAAATATAACATACACTATTGACCTTGTTTTGCAAAATGACTTTTCGTTTTTTCTCTAAATCAATTTCCTACTTTCTACATTTGATGAGTAAGTAATCCTAAGGATGATTTCAGATTCTTTTAGAAATAAAAGCAAACATAACCATTCGAATCGCCAATCTGTCGGCTATCGAAAAGAAAATCTCCTAATTCCTGAACAGAGCATTCTGACAAGATCGGCTAAGTACAGATATCAAAAGAAAACTATGTTTTCTATCGACTAGTTATTTTTGAACAATGAATCAAAGGGAAGTTAGTCTTAAAATATTGTCATACATGTACCAGCTGTATGTTCAGATAATGTCTTTAATCACTTGACCAACTAGTTCCCATCTTCTATTACCTATTGGAAAGTTTAACCGTCAATCTTACCCTTGTTTGTTATTCAAAAGAGTAGCATAATATTTCGTATTTTGCTTCATTATTATTTTTTGTTTACTTAAGTGAAAATATTAATATAGAAAAAGCAAAAATCTATCACATTGTGTACACTAAACTATCGAAATTATTCAGGAGAGCAATATCCATTTTATCCGTCAACATTTTCGAGAAGTCACCAGCATTAGAAAAACTTAATCGAAAAAAGTATTAAAATTAAGAGTGTTGAAGATTTCTTATTTGTTCAATTGCTCTCGAAATATTCTAGGAATGGAAGAATATTGTTGTTTTTCTACGTATATAATTTTTTCAATTTGATTTACAGTGAAAATCAGTATTGAATCACATTTAGGTGTTCCTCCACGTGTTTTTCGTCCTCAAGTACGCAAAAAATATCGTGATATTGAAGAAAGAATATCTCATATTACCGACAATAATCGAACAATTATAGACTTATACAAGGGTGTTAAAGGTCCAAATGCCACCCGTGAAACACGAATGGAAGTTGTAGCTTGGATAGCTGTTTGTAAATTTTCTTGCAAACTTGAAGGTGGTTTTGTACGTGATTGGGTTGTCGGTAATGATATATCTAGACCAGCTAATCCTTTACCAAGCCCGAAACATTGGATCGAATATATACATTCAATACCATATATTAACAAAGAAGTTGTTCCAGGTGATTTAGATTGTCATTTACCTACACATGATATATTTGATATTGAGAAATTTCAAGATGAATTGCATAAATATGATATAACATGCCAAGTATTTCGAGAGAACTGGAGATATGTCTTGTTAATTGACGAGAACGCTCCCACAGGTCCATTCACAATGGATTTAATTGAACCACATGTGGCATTAACACATGATCGTATTGATTTCGATGTGAATAATTTATCATTGGAAAAATATTATACACATGAATTAGGAATGCGTATTGATATTCAACAAAGGCCATACTTAATTGAACTTGAAACTATTGTTGATAATATTAAAAATAAACGCTTTCAAGTACTTCGCCCACTTGATTATAATCTTGAACAACGTATTGACAAAATGGTAAATATTCGCCATTGGACACAATTAGGACATCCATTCAGCGTTGTACCAAATCCGGACCCAAAATATTGGTCTGTTTTAGTACGATTACCATCATCAGATAAATTATATAAAGATGTGGAAGCACAAATTAGAAACATAGGAAATACAGTAACAATTATATCGATCGAACAAATAAAAAATCCGCTTTTAGAAGATCAATATGAAGCATTGAAAAAAATAATTGCTAAACAATGTTCAGGATTTGATCCAAATGAACGTGAACTATTTCATGGTACAAGTGGAGAAGGAATCGATGGTATACGAGATAACGGTTTTGATGATCGTTATTTTAGTAAAGATGGCAACTGGGGTAAATACTTTGTTAATACTAAAGATGCTTTAGAACTACAAAATTCGTTTTCTTGAATGATTTGAAAATATTCATGAACATTCGTACCATAACTTTGTCATCTAATGATAGAGTCTCTCGATTTATTCACTCCATTAGAGAGATATATGAATTTTTCAAACAGTCGATTGTATCGTGGAGATTTTTTAAATCTCAAGCATAATATTCCTTTTCGAAGTTCAATACTTACTAGTAGAACGTCTACGAATGATTAACATGTATGTCTAATCACTATTTTTTTGTCTAATATTAAAAAAAAAACAGATTTGTGACACAATCAACTTTTTGAAAGATTTGTATCTCAGCATAGCTAAGTTCAGAGTATCGAACAAACGGGTGAAACTTATATCAAAGATTCGTCAGGAAAGTGTATTCTTATTGACAGCTAATCACCTTCAAATAGTTTAAGTGAACATGCAGATTGCTATTTTTCTCAATTTTAGTTAATACAAATTGAATAGTTTAAGACTATTAGTATAGTCAACGTCGATTTTTGTGAATTTTTCTCTCTTATTTGTTTTTCTGCACTATTGGTGATGAAACATTGAAGAAAAAGGCACTCAAAAACGGAACTCATAGGTGTCATAAAACAGGTGATAGTCATGTATAGGTATTTATGTGAGACTGTTGAGTGCTACTCAGTGTTTGTGGTGGTTTTTTCAACGCTTTGACAAATTATGCCCTTATAGTGTTGGTATAAATTACAAAAATCCTAATTACACTAAGTATTTCCATGATAATTGAAAGTAAGTTTTACATTCCAGAAGTTAATGAAAATGCGTTCTTGAAATCTTTCTTGTGTTAGAATATGAAGAGTTTATATTTTGAATTTAAGACTAATTTTTACTACTATTCTCCCTATGAGATTTGTTTGAGTGTTCACGTATTTTTGCAAAAAAACTAGTGTCATAGAAATTGATTCGTCTATTTGACATTCAGAAATATATTTCATTTAGTACAACTGTGTGTTTCCAGTCACTTTAGAAACTACGAATTCTGAGAAAAACAGAATCGATCAATAATAAATATAATTGATTGTTTTCGAAATAATGCTATTTATCCAAAGAGGACCTCCTTATATACCATCACTTGGCGAATATCTGTCCTTAACAAGTATTACTTTCTATCGAAGAAAATTTTTCATACAGCTCTAACTGTGATAGCCATTGTTGCTAGTCTGAATTTGAGCTTTTACTTGATTAGGCATGAAGTTATTCTGAATTGTTTGAGAAAACAGGACATTAAATGTTTGTCCAAATGATGATCAAAGCTATTTTAATTTTATACCATCTATTATTTTATTGACTAACAATTGAAATCAGAATATTCAATCTTATTCTAAATTGATTCAAAGTACAATGAAAAAACTACTTAATTATTAAAACTTTATTTTTTGCAAGTAAATATTATTATACTAATTTCATTTGAGTTTTATCCTTTTAAAACTTGAAAAATTCTGCTGTGTTTATGACTTGTGTTCTGATGTCAATGAATATTCGATAAAAATACATTTTACATTTTGTCAAATATTTCATTGAAATATTAAGGCTACCTCTGAACATATTTATATACATGTACATGAGCAAGTCAATGATTTCCAATGTGTGTCTCGAATTCACAGCTCCTTGTAATATTGATAGATTGACTGAAATTGGATGATTAAATTGTTAGAGATGCGCTTGATCGGAATCGAGTTCTTTGAAACCTTTGTAAAATTACTCTGAACATCACATGGTCACGAGTTCTAAATATTTTTTTTATACGGATACAAAAAATCATTGATCGAATGAGCAATTCTTTATACACAAGCTCTGTAACATTTATTTGTCATGCACAGAGATGAAGACGACAGAAAACGAATTTTATAAACACATAACAATTCAACGGTGATAAACCAAAAAATCCCTTACAAAAACATGTTCATCTAAATAACTCTAATGACACTCATTTTGATCACCTCCATCGACGGACAACGATACTTTTGAAGAATTATTTCTTACTAAAGATCAATTTCATGTATCTATGGGATACTACACAATGGGAAAGTTGAGACTCAAGTTCACCTTTCTCCTTTCGCACGAAGAATGAAATCTATAGATGGAAATATGACAGTGAAATAAAGGCTATGAAAATAAAACGTATTAGCGTTCTCAATATTTCAAACTTACTCATATTTAAAGTAGTCCTGATCCGTTGACGTCGTCAGTAAATTAAACTTTCAGGATTTTCTGAATAATTGATGTTCGTACTAATGTTATGCTTCTTTTTTTTAAACGTTTAGGTCACGGTGCATATTTTGCTGATACTCCTGTGAAGTCGCATAAGTATACCGCACCTGATTCGAACGATGGGACTCGTGTTATGTATTACGCTAAGGTTTTGCTGGGTAAGGAGGCACAACAAGCATCGCCTGATGACGGATTGGTTTCTGCACCAAGAGAATATCATTCGGTCGTAGGAACATTAAATGGGTTCACGGAATATATAGTTTATCGATATGGTCAGGCTCTGCCGTACTTGAAAATTATTTACAAAGAATAATTATAGATACTTATGAATGTTATGTCGCAAAACCATAGTTTTCAGTCAATACTTATTAAAAGAACATATATAAACTAGAGAATGCTTTCTACATGCTTAATTCGTTAACAAAGTGTCTTTTAAAATAAAATTCAAGTTCAATTTGCTTAATTATCATCGAATCTGAAATAATAATATAGAAAAATTGTTAATTACTAAGAAATTTTGATGAAAATAATACATTTCTTTGATATCAAGGACAACTGTAAGCATGACTTTTATACATGAAAAAGTACCGTATGTGAGAAGTTTCTGCATTGCATGAGGTTGATGGTGTTTCTAAAAATGATTTATCTCATCTATTGTTATTTCACAGCTGGAACGACAATTTAATGAGTAAAATTGTCAGTTTTTGATTTTATATAATTATTGACTCAAAATGTTAGACATGTTGAATGTATTAGAAGTTCGAGAGGAATATAAATCTAGAAAACAGCTGTCAGTGCAATTCCTGAAGGATTAAAAAGTGAAACACAATACAGTTATTATTCCTAATCACATGAAAATGGTTATATTCGATTTAATTATTTTGGAACACATTTCTTCATCATTCATTACTTGATCTTCTATAGCTGTGTAGTAGACAAGAAAGAATGAGATGCTACATTGTTACATGTTTACACAGGTTGATTGGAATGCTTCTTCAAAGACGTATTAGGCCTTGTCAGCTTTATAATCCATTATCAAATAAATTCAGCATAGAACTTGAGAAAGTTTTCAAATTCATAATAATCAACTATTTTAAACTACTTAGTCAAAAGAATGACAATTTAAGATGTTGTGAATAAGAAAATTGACAAGCACAAAAAGATAATATTGAATAAGAAAAGTCATGATTAGGAGCGAGGAATAATTGAATTGCGTCGTTCTTCGAATTTTTTAGCGTTGCTTGTCAGTGACACAAGTAAGAAAAAGTGAAGTTCGCCAGTTATAGACTTGACATCTTCGTTTTCGAGACAGGCTCGTCGAAATTCCGCTTCAGATATTTGTGTTTTATCACCAAAAATTAGTTGTATAATATTATCAAGTTTTTCTTTGCTATATTCTGGATCTTTTTGATCAACACCATTATCAGAACCAGCCATAAGTCGAAAAAATGTCGAGAAAACGTCTCGAGCTTCATCTTGAGTAAGAATATCATTGCTATTTGCATCACATGCGATGAAAAGTGTCTGAAGGACTGGTTTCGGATCATCCGTACACAGCAATGCAACCGTTAACAGATATTCATATAAGTCAACTTTGCCTTCAACCAAAAGAAGAAAAATATTCGATCAAAGTAGAAAACAAAGATATTCTCAAAACATATTTATTTCTTTTTTGTTTGCAGTTAGTCAAATTTAATCAATTTATATTCAGTTTTCTTCTATCAAAAAAAATATTATTTTTCGAATTAAACGAAAGAAAAAACCATCTTTTGTTTCAAGATGTGCAAAACTAAACAAGTAAAACTTAATGTAGAGTTGACAATATCTATTTAGATTATCATGGGCGATTATGTTTAAAATATTGTTTTATTTAGATGAGAAAAAAAAATCAATATCAACAAGTTCTTTTTGATGTTCAAATATGGCATTTTATAGTCTTTGAAAAGACTAAAAACTTGGCTTGAACAGGAAATTTTTCCTCACATTTTTTTTGTGCTGTCACTATTGCAATTCGAAACGAAAGGTTGAGACCCTGATATATCTATAAGCTTGCAGATCAGAAGCTACTCTACAAAATGCACTATTTGAAGTTTTTTTTTTGTTTTTTGACAAAGCATCTCGATATTTATTTTTCCTTAATATCAACTTTTGAAAAACCAAACTGCTAATATATCTCATTACAATAGCTAAAAGCTGCTTGATAGATTTCGATTCTCTAACAAATCAAAAACATATCTTCCAAAAAAATAACTAGATGTGCATCTTTTTTATACTCCTACATCATCCATTACATGGAAGTAAATCATAAATGTACAGATATTGGATTAAAACTTTTGTTAAAATAAGTATGGCGACAAATTTTTGTTCCCATTTTACTCAAGTAAATAAGACACATTTACAGTTTTCTCCTCCATTGCTCGTCACTTTTGTATTTTGAGAATAACTTGGTTGATTCTCATTGTATAGTGAATCAAGTTTAATCTCAAAAGATTTTCCATTCAATTCGTTTCAAAATTATATCAGAAAAAGCCGGTACAACATATCAAGTCTTTGCTTCTGTCCAATCAAATACGAATCTTTCTAATTTTATATTTTCTAATGCTTTCAGACGTACTTGTATCCCATGACATAAAACTATTGGTTTCTGTGGGATGGTTTGGTTCTAGAACGGATCAATTAACGGACAAAACAAATGGTAACTAATGATAAATTCTTCTCGAATGCTACATGTGAGAATAGAATAGATCCTCTCACCTACCGAATTAGTTAGAATAATTAAGAAAACACTTTCCATCGGTTTAGCATCAAGATTAACAACAAGTCATGATACTTTCAGCTGACTATAGACAATAGATATCACTAAACGCTGCAAGACTTTTGTATTATCTATCGAATAATAAATCCTTGTCGTTTCTACAAAATGACATATTTAGTCTATCCCTATGTTTGTAAAAGACGGCAACAACAAATCAAAAAGACAAAGTTAGTCAGTGAGCGGTTGTATGTTGCACCTGATTTTTTTTGTATATTTTTCTAGAGAATTGAGTAGAAAATATTTCGACAATAAACCCTACGATGAAGGTCAACCAACATATTATCGACATACAAAAAAGTGATATTTTTAAGCCACATAGATTATCTACGTATATATCGTCAAACGATTTCTTATTCGGAAATATGATGTAATCAAATTAAAATTAGGAACTCGATGAAGAAACTATTTACCTGATTTATCACGATCAGCAACAGTAAACATGAGTTTAGCCATATCAGCTTCTGCAGATTTGACACCTGATGATGGATCTCTGATCATTTCAAGAAATTGTTGCTCTGTCATACCACCACTTGGATATTTATTTTTTGTTGCAGCTACAAAACATGTGATATAAGTATTATGTCTTGATTAATTTTGAATATTGAAAGAGTCTACAAGTATTTCTATTTGCTTCTCAATGGAATTAGAAAAGACAAGAAACATCATTAAGAAATGATATCGATTCCTATTGCAATATAAGATTATTCGAAATTCTACAAATCTAGTCGTAGAAACAAATTTGAATGTCTCGATTAACACAAGAATGGAAAGAATCATGTCATACTTCCTGTTTGAACATGACTTGTGATGTTGTTATTCGTCAAACAAAGTCTCGAAACGGAGATTTTGCATTAGTGAATTTTAGCATGTTCAAAATCATTAACAACGTTTTTTTTTATCTTTCTTATTATTTTAAAAACTACACTTTGTTCATCTCATTGACATTTTTGTCATCTGTCCGACTTTTGAACTGAGTATATGTCACTCACCGTAAGATCGAAGAACATCTTCTTCACTGCCACCTGTTGCCGCCTTAAGATTATCAATTTGAGCCTTGGTTAATTCATTCATCGAAGACATCTTGAACAGCGAGATGAGCGAAACACGATATGTTGTTTTCTAAAGCAAAATAAAACAAACAATGCGAAATTGTTTTCTATGTCGTAAAAAAACATGGATGACATTCATTTTTTTTAAAACGACATGAACGATTGTATTATTATACTTCAATGTAACCTCACCTGGATATCTCGAGATAACATTCATGTGATGAAAACAGGCGAAAACCTCAATTAACTCATATGAGTTATGTAAGCAACAACTGCGGATGAAATGTGTTGTTTACAAAATTCTACAGATTCTACTCAGCGATATTATTAGTCGAAAGTGCGCTATTCCTCTGCCTAAATCTGAAAAAAACTCGATTTGAACTGGTTCGTTTTCGACGATTAAATAGTATTCAAATAAGTTAGAATAGGAAACTACTTTCTTATTAATTCATGATTGAAATATGTTTTTTTTAATCATTCAATAGATTTTAGATGGTTCATTTGAGTATCCAGTGTCCATATAGTGCTTGATTTTTATTCAGCTTAACGAATCTATAATACAGTGTTTGTAGTAAAAAATCGGTCTCCATAATGATGATGAGACAACAGAATTAAGATTGTAACGATTCTATCCGGGTGTCTTCAGCATGTGCTGACAAGGCCGAATCATCACTTCATTTATCATTAAGACAAAGCTCGATGTTTTGTCATCATTCTAACAGAATCAAAAATGTTTGTTCGTTAATAGCTTGAAAATTACATAGCCGATGGATAGAGACGAAATGTTCGATTGAGAAGATGTTGCAGATCATATAGAACAGTGTCTAACTCGGTCCTCCTGATAGTGTCAGATCAATGTGTTGAATATTGAAAAAACTATTGTAGGACAAATGACCAAATTATTGGATATAATGTCAATATAAATCTCGGCAGAGATCTCATTGGGATTTCATTGTCATTGAACAAAAAAATTGATAATCAATAATTCGGTGTTTACTTCTATATTGCTCTCTTCATTGAATAGATAGGACATTCCGTAAGTGAGGCACTTTTGTCTAAGATAAATGCTTAAGAATGATATGTTTTTTTTTAAGCGAAGCTGGTCAATGATCATGCTTATCTACTTTTTAAAATAGCTAAAATCTTACTTATGTACTTTAAATCCTATTTGATGGACTTCAATGAATACTCGATGTCCTGTCTTTATAGCAAACGGCTTATATGAAATATTGTTGTAAATGGATCGCTCGTCAAGCTGTTTTGATGTTATATTCGCTGTCTCAATATCCTAGTTGGTTTCTTATACAAAGTTGTAGCAGGAAAAGAAAATTGTGAAACAAGAAAAAAAAAAGAAAATTATGCTGATGACAGTAAACAAGAAATCCACAACTAAAGAGCACACGTATACATCAACGACAAGCAAGAGAGTCGAAAAATATTCTAGACAAGAGAACAAGATATTATAACAAGTACCCATATAAAATGCTCTTCAGAAAAAAAGAGGTTAGGTCCCGAAGACTGTACAAAAAAAAAGACTTCATTAGTCAGCCTAATCAGCTCAAATCTCCTAACATGACAATTGATTATCAGATATCAAATATACACTTTCAATATGCAATACCAACCTTCATTCGGCTCAATTTGAACATTAAGATTAAATCATTTCAATATCAATAAATATTTTAATATGAATCTCTTATTTATTTATTTTGATTGACTATCGGAACGCAATAGCCAAAATATAGCAATCTAGTGTTTATGTAAAGAGCAAGTTCGAGCTGTTTGACTGATGAATATCTTTGACAATGATTAAGAATGTAGGATATGAAGATTTACATAAGACTAATACCCATATCTTCTCTATTTTAAAACTGATTATTAGCGCAAAATCTACAGTCATAGTGAGATAGATTGGTGTGAAAATCATGAGATCTGAATAAGTTACTAACGAAAAAAGTGCCGATGTAAATTGTATAAAAATAAACTGAATGAGCTGTACATGTCACCCGTACGCGATCTGCATGCTCTGTTATTGACGCTAGTGACGATGTTCATTGCAATGTGCAAGTTACTTCTTTAAAGGTTATAGTGCTTTTTCCAGAAGAACCTTCGTCTTCCCGACAAATCTATGAATATCGGATTAATGTAGAGATGTTATTGATAGACATTGATATTTTAATAAGACAAGTAAATATTTTATTTTGAAAAAATATCTCTGAAATATGACAATTTAGAATTTGTATTTATACGATCTTTCGTTAAAATCTTTCACAATACAGATAAAGAAATTCCATATAATAAAAAGCATTAATCCATTGAACATAAAATAGTATATTGCTTCAACGAAAGCTCTAACAGGCGATATACTTTCTTCGGAACTTTGAAGAAAATAAACATTAAATTATCCATATATTAACTTTTGTTACCCACGATCAGTATTATCAATAGTGTCATCATTATCATCGTCGATTATTTCTTCTTCATACTAGTCCTACAACAAAAAGTCTCTTGTTTTTATAGACTTTATTGTAATATCGTTTCATTACTTTTGATAAATTTAAAAAGCGATTTTCTATGTATATTCATGTAGGAGTTTTCAGTACAAACAAAAACTTTAAATGAATAATATTCACTCCTATACAATAAAAAAAAGGGATCATTTTTTTCCATTTTTGTACATTCAATGTGTAGCAGTTGAAAATTATATCTTCTTTTTCTTGAGACCGCGAGAAAAAAAATTTTCGAAGTCGGGACTACAAGAAAGAAATTGTTCGCACTACAACTCTCAATGATAGTTTAATATTATAGGTTTTTGAGCAGATTTCCTTATCGATCATACCAAACAAAACAAATTTCAGAAGATATAATCGACATAAGTGACATTCGTTCATTAACAACATGAAAAAAAAGAGTATTTAAAGATTTCTTTTACGGATTGGATGCACATGGTTTTTAAAATCGTTCTCGAAAGATCAAGATCAACACTCCAAAAACCTTCGGTCACCAGAACTAAAAACGAAATTTCGTTTTGCGCATCTTTGTTCATGTCACCAAACTTTGAAAATTCAGAATATTTTTCATAAATTATAGTACCTTAATCATTACATAACTAGAAAATGCGGTATGCAAATCATTATCAAAAAACCATGAGACGAAAAAAGTGAACAAATACATAAACTAAAGTAGTGATGAAAAATGTGTGAGAATAAAATCCGTGCTATAAATATTGGCAACTATAATTAATAGTATTTTTCAAAATTTAGAAGTTTATGTAATATAATACTACAAACATTTACTAATATCAGTAACACTTTCAGACCAAACTGTACGACACATGTTATATGGAATCATGAGTAGTTTTTATGATTAGAGGATTCAAAATGTGATAGCACACAATAATCAGCATCGAATGTATTTCGCGAAGTAATATTTAATTTGTTTGAAGAATTTACAAAGGAAAATGTTGACATAAATTTTTTAATGAAACAGTATATTCCTATAGATCTTTTATTTTAACGGTAAGTTTTATGCTTAGGAGAACATTGCTCTACATGAACGATTTAACAAAGGTATAAAAATTTAATTGACTTGAGAACAATACAATTCTAGATGTTGCCAAGGTTAGGATTTGTTTTTCAAAATGGGTTTCAACTTTATTTGAATTAGTGACTTTTATTTTGACACGGATTCGATAAATCATACATACTCATACATACGTATTCATACAGTGGACGTTAAGGATATCTCTCCCATTTAGAGAATATATTATGATATAGAAAAGCCTAGCCATCGCAAACAGTGTCTAGTACTTTTCCTCTATCTTGATAGTGACCACCAGTACCCGTATTCCACCATCTTCTTTCATCCAATTGTCTTTTCAACAAATACATATTATATCCAGTTTCTGTTTGTATATTTAATGAATTCAACATTCTTTATTGCATAAACAATCTCTAACCCTCACTTAAAAGTGTGTTATTTATATCTAATCATAATGATTAAGTAATGATCACAAATTTTTTCTAACAATTAAGATAATTTCATTTCATGAATTTTTTTGAATCAACTACATGTCATATTTTTCCAAATAAAATGTCCGATTTTTTAATTTTTAGTGAAGTTTAATTTTCATAGTTATCCTAATAAAAGGCTGTGGGTGTGGGGGTAAGTATAAGGTACAAACATATACCTACACCTCAAAATTTTATATAATATTTTTCCTTCCGATATCTTTCATGAGCACTTGAAGTCATTATTTTGTACACTAGCATTTCAAAAACTTGCTTCCTCAGTGGCACAGAAAAATCATAACGTCGTAATCAGCAGATGCTGATTCAGCTTCACTTTACTTAAGTATTTACTTTAATGCTTTTGGCAAGTGAGATAAAATTCACAGTTGACAGAGATTAAACTGCTTTGTTCATTAATGATTAATGGACATTTTTTGTGAAAATGCAAGCAACTACTCAAGTATACCTTGAAGAAACACTCCTTTTTCTGTGAAAAAAAGCACAATGTGAACGTAGCTAGAAAACTCTATGTATATTTTATCATTTTTTACTTTGTCAGCTGTTTTAACTTTCTATATAGCATTCTCTATGAAATAATCGGACAAAATGATAACAGTTCAACCCGAGACATTACATTACTCCATCCCATCAAGATAAACTTGTTCTGAATGGATCGAGAGAACATTATTTATATGCGGTGATGATATTGCTAATTCTCAATGTTAAATCGTTGGAATACAGATTATCAGTAGACAAATATTCTATTAAACGATAAGTTTCACGTACAAGGAATAAACAACTTGAGCAATTTATACAGAATGTCATGTAAAAAAATTGAAATAAGAGATGCTTCTATTTGAAATCGACAAGAGTAGATTTAGAAAGTCTTCACCTACTTACCAATCATTTTCAGTCACCCGATTACTCATTTCTTTATTTTCTTTGGAACCGTAAATTTCATCATTTAAGATGTTGTTTTTCTTTTTATTAAAAATAGCCAACAGAACGAGCA